CAAAGCTGATGTGTAAGGGCTGGCTTTTCCCCTATCCCCTGGTGTTTGACTGGGGTGAGACAGACCCACAGACTGTTGCTCGTCAATGCTAGGGAGCAGCAGCTTTACTAGTGTTTGTGTGGGGTGAGAGAGACACACAGACTGTTGCTGGTTGGTACTGGGGGAGAGATCTCTGTCCTGACTCCACCCTGACACTGCATGCCGATCCACACATTGTGTGGTATCAGAGTGCACTCTTGACACAGTGTGCATGCACAAAAGGGTGAAAATGAGCTGCTGTGGCAGCTCAAAGGCTGGTTCTTTGCTGCCCTCAAAAGGAGCAGCCCTTTGAGCTGCTCTTTTGGGGGCAGCAAAGAGGAGGATTGGGGGCATGGCCCTTTGGGCCCCGATCCACCGCTCCCAGGGGCAGCCCAGAAAAGCTGCCTCATCTGCATTGGCCCTATGTCTTATTTTCAGGGTATGGCTCATATTGCACAAATGCCTACAAATCCTGTTACTGCCTATTTTATGGATATGTCTTATTTTTGGGGAAACACAGTAGCTACCTCAAGCAGGTAGAGGTAGATTTTCTGCATCATGTGTCAAAATAATCTGGATGAGTTTAGATATTTGGCCATTTAACTTGGGTGAGCTGGGTGGTCATCATTTCCTCTCTGTGTCAAGCAGAACAATGTCATGAGACAGAAATATATAATGTGGCTATATCCAGCTTCGTCCCTTTCTAACTACTTTTTACCAAGCTTGCTTTGCCTCCCATCATCCTATAGAAACTTTGCTTCCTATCCCTTGTTTCATCTGCAGCCTTAGCTCAGGTCCTCCCTTCCTCAGTCTCTTCAGTTGTAACCTGCTGTAGCCCAGCCCTGTGGCCCTTTTAAAGTTTCTTTGTGACATTCACAGATGCTAAATCAGTCCTTTCTACTCTCACAGTACAGTATGATCCTTCCTTTATCACAAAAATAGCTAGCTTCCCTTATAGTTCCTGCGTTTAAAAGTAACTCTTCTTTTCCATTTTGAAAAAGTTACTATCTTTCTTATGTTTTAATAGATACTATATATGAATTTAATTTATTTTAAATAAATAAAACTCATTGTACAAGCTGAACTCTTACACAAAATATATTATCCTCTCAGTTAACAAGAGGAAGTACATTGTTGATGTGATTAGAAAAACAAACTTTGATGCATTACTTTTACTTTTGTTCCCAGTCCTCTCATGATCATGAAGTGAAGTGGTGTGGTCTATATTTGCATTGATCCTCCCTCAAGACCAATCTTGACCTTCAGCAAACATCTCAAGCAAGATGCAGACCTGTGACCCTAACACCATTACTTTTCTTCTCCTCCATGATTTTATATCATTTTTGCTGGATGATGAAGCCAGTGAACATCAAAAGCTGGTATGACACATTTTGTGCTTTTTGGTGGCTTTTTGGTGGCTTTTTTTTAGTTACCTAATAAATATATCACCATATTTTCTGTCTATATTCTATTGTAAGCTGAATAAACCTGGTATTGCATTTTTCTCCAAGCCGTGCTATATTCCTCCACCACCACTGTGTGTGGAAAACCTTTGTAACTATAAAGGTAACATAAAAGTTATACCTGTGGCTCAAGAGTGAAGTTAATAGTCATCCAGTTACAATAAAATACAATTTACAGTAGTTATGCCTTGGTTAACAGAATTAATTAATAGTAGTTATGTATCTGAAGGCATGTATGTTCAAGGCATGAAGAATTTTATCCCAGTTTATACCAGGTCTATTCACATCAGTTATTCACACAACTGAGAATCTGTGTCTTTCAGAAAATCTTGGGAAAAACCCGACATTGATTATCCAAGGCTAAGTGAGAGTTTTGGCACACATGCACCCAAACTTAATTGGATGCATTCAAAATGTATGTGAACAACAAAGATTCAACTCAGATTCTACCTGGATTGTTTTCACCACCTAAATAACCCCTAAATGAAACAGTATTACAAGATTGCTCAGTTTTGTTTTTCTCATCTAGGGAAACACTGATTACTCCATTGAGTTCACTTCCCAAAATCACTTCATCTTCAACAAATTCTTAAATGACTTCAAGCAGTCTATGATAGAATAAGTCTAGACTTTGATTAGGGACATACCAGTATGCATTAATGAAAGTTAACTTCTGTTTATAAAATTCTCTTTTCACATATTGTATATCCCCTGTACCATCTTTCACTTGATTGATAACCTCAAACAAGATTTTTGCTTTTATATAGTAACACCTTTACAGTTTTTGAAGATGCACCTGCACTATATATTTCTCCTACACCTGTGTTGTAGTTGTGTGTCTTCAAGTTGCTTCTGACTAATGGCAACTCTAAGGCAAACCTATAATTGGGTTTTCTTGGCAAGATTGTTTAGGGGAGGTTTACCATTGCCTTCCCCTGAGGCTAAGTGCATGTGACTTGCCCAAGATCATCCAGTTGGTTTCATGGCTGAGCAGGGAATTGAACTCTGGTCTCCAGAGTCATAGTCCAACATTCAAACCATTATTCCACACTGGCTCTAATTTATCTAGATATTTTTCATGTTGCATTTAATACAGGTTTCTAGGGGGTAGGGAAAACCTTCCCCTCCCTTATAATTAAAATGTGGGATATTTTCCTCCTTTTAATATAATTATGATATCCTTTAGCATTAAGACCTTTTTTAAAAAAAAATCATAAATTAATATTTCATGTTATTCTTGAAGTTTTTGTTCTTAATTCACCTCAATAACCATACCATAAGCAAAACCTTTCCAGATACCTGACTAACCCTCCCCATCACAAAAATTACTTCTCATCCAACTGCTTCTGTCCCTTGATTCACAGTTACCTTTGGATTAATTTGGATTAATATAATTGTTCCAAATTGGAGCACAATTCCTTCTGATCACCATATTCTTTGCCTTAGATATCACATATCTATTCCAAATCAAGACAGAAATCAGACTATTAAGGAACTCAGCCACATTGGATTTCATATTCAAATGTATTTATTTACTAAAATATTTTATATATTACACTGTACAGTGGACCCTTTCCTTCCACAGGGGTTTGGTTTCAGGGCCTCCCATGGATGGAAGAAACACAAATGTTCAAACCCCATATTATTTAATGGATGGTGATGTGCACATTTCTGTGTCAGCATGTCTGCAAGCACAGACTGCCATTGAATAATATAGGGTGTGGTAAGCTGTGGATGCTCCAATCTACAGATAGTTAGCCTGCCAGTGTGATGGGCCCACTGTAGCACAAAATCTCAAGACAGAATGAAGTCAACAGTAATGTGTCAGTTGGCCCTTCAAGAGGAGGATATTCTGCAACCAAGGGCTGATCTAAATGTAGGTGTACTATGTGAATTGGTGTGGATTTTTGCTTCTTCATATTCATGTTCAATTTCCTATACTTCTCTGAATGCATTCATACCTATTGCATGTATTTGTAATATGCTGACCACATACAGCTATCAATCAAAGGGGATGCACTTCTGCTTGGATTGTCACCTATTCCTGCTGGCATTGTATGATCACAGCTTTAAATAGGTTTTTAATCAAAAATTCAGTATTTGTCTTTTTCTGAGAACAAACAAAGCAAAACAAGTAAAGCCTTCACTGGTGTTTGCATTCGATCTTCTCTCCGCCTCCCCCCCCCCCCATGGCACTTGAGATCCTGAAGAACTGAGGCAGGGTTTAAATATAATTAACACTCTCTTCTCCCAGACAGTGAGTGAGAGAAGAGGAAACAATGGCTACAAGGAAGGTTCCTCAAGATACTTTCAAGTCATGGGCCATCAGACAATAGGGTGGATGGTAGTTTTTCCCTATCCACCCAGTCATAACTTGGGGGAAGGGGTTGGGAAGAAAGCAAATGTTGATTTCTTCTTGCTGCTCAGGTAAAACAGTGTGCCAGAAGGTTTAATGGGGGCAGAAAGCATTAATAACTGTGGGAAAGGAGGAGGGGGAGTTGTAAAGTTCGATGAACTTTTGCATATTTCCTCCCAGCTTTTAACTATTTAAATGCTCATTGCCTCCAGAAGTGCCTTCTGCCAAAATGCACTGCCATGTGAATAACTGGATGTCCACATGTTCAGTAATGTGTATCCCTCTGTATGCTATGATAAAAAATTCAACAGCTCTTTCTTTGGATTTGAGGACTTTTTCACCCCCCCTCCCTCCCAAAATGATGAATGCATTCAAATTGTCTGATTAAATGGGCAGTTTACATTCTACAAATTTTCTGTTGCTAACTGCCTTTTAGTTGATCCCAACTCATGGCGACCGTGTGGATGAGACATGACTAAGACTCCCTATCCTCCACTGCTCTGCTTAGGTTTTGTAAATTCATACCTGTGACCTCTTAATAGATCCCATCTAGCAGGTGCTCTTACTCTCTTTCTGTATTCCCTATCTTTCCTAGCATTATTATCTTTTCCAATGAGTTGTGCCTTCTCATGATGTGGCCAAAGTATGACAGCCTCAACTTTATCATCTTGGCTTCCAGGGAAATTTCAGGCTTGATCTGTTCCATTTGTTTGTTTTTTTGGTAGTCCATGGTATCTTCAGCACTTTTCTCCAGCACCATCTCAAATTAATTGATTTTCCTCTTATCCACTTTCCTCACATCCTTACTGTCCAGCTCTCACATCCATACATGGTGATAAGGAATACAATGGCTTGTATAAGTCTAACTATCAGGATAATTTTCATCATATAGACTGGCCCCAAGTTGTCACAGTATGCCCTGTGTTTAAATCAAATAAAAGCTTACAAATCATCTGCCATCTGAAGATAGTGTCTCTTCCATTGACAAATTTAATTCCTAATAACAAGTCCTTTCTAGAGGATTTCAATATTGTTCAGCTATATACCTTAAATAGCTACTTGTCTACTATCAGGAGTATTGCTTTCTGATCTATCTTTCCCACTAAAGAAATCCTTAGCTATTCTTTTCCTCTGTACAAGGGCATTTGAAGGTCTCTAGAATGAATGGTTGTTGGTATTTTTTCCTCACTTAAGCTTAGCAAAAATGTTCATGGGTGAAAAGCAGAAAGACACATTTGCTGAGGTATCGGACATTTTGACAGATAATGACTCTTTATTAAAACCTATGCATAACTCAAGCTTTTGTTCATATTTTCTGTATTATTATTATTATTTTGTTTTAAAAATATTATAAGGTGTCCTGAGCTTCAGGATGAATAGGATAGGAGTCAAAATAAATAAGCAAGTCAAACAAACTCCTGATTCCACATTTAGAAAGCTGTGCTCTCACTTTTGATGTTTAAAAGATTTCAAGCATTTCTTTATATATTATCTTTTGGCTTTCTGCTGCATTCACCTGTAGCAGCTGTTTGATCCACTGGAAAGATGTACCATCAATGTTCAGCAATCCAACCCAGACTTAATTCTTTTTCTTTGTATTTTTCAGACAAGCTGTAGCTTCTGGAGAATTATTTTCCCCAATCTCACAATTTACCAGCCTCATGTATTTCTGGTCATTTCTCACTATTGATGAGCTCTTTTTTTCATCTTCAAATGTTATTGCCTGGTTTGAGAAAATCTGTGAGATAAATATTATTCACTATTCAGTTTTGTAATGGGTTTCCTAATTTTTTTTAAAAAAAAAAAGTGACAAAAGTACTGTTTATATAGGCTTGACCTAGCTAAATATTCATGCTGAGGTAGGAGCAATTTTTCTTTCCACTGTTTTTTGCTGGAAATTCAGAGTCAGGTTTTATGCAGTATTCAAAATGTCTTTTTCCCTTCTGATTCTTATTCTAGAATTGCCTGATACATCTTCTCAAACCTCCAGTTCTTTAAACCATGTACCATTTTTATTCAGTAGTTATCATTTATGAATACTTGCAAACTCATCCAATTAAAGGGTGTAGAACCTTGGGAGTTAGAGTTGCTAGATGACTTGTATTTCTAAAGTTGTATCTTGGGGCCAATTCATTTTTTCTCCTATCAGACAACTTATTCCTGCGTACAAAGTACACAGAGCATTATTGATGAATGGTTCACATATGTATAAATTTTGGCCCTTGCTAGCAAAGTACCTACAAAAAATGCCTTAGTACAGGTTAGGCCAGGGGTAGGCAAGCTAAGGCCCGGGGGCTGGATGCAGCCCCCCGAGGCTTTTGGACCGGCCCTAGGCCGGTCCTGCCACCGCTGCCGCCGCCACCCCCCACCGCCCACCATGATGATATTGATTATTATTACTTCTTCTTGGGGTTTTCTTGGCAAAATCTCCACAGGGGTTTTGCCATGGCTTTTCTGGGGCTGAGAGAGTGTGCATGCATATTTTAATATTTTTTTTAATTTTTAATTTTTTTATTTTATTTATTTATTTATTTATTTATTTATTTATTTTTGGTGCTTCGGACCCCCAATTGTCTGAGGGACAGCAACCTGGCCCCCAGCTCAAAAAGGTTGCCTACCCCTGGGTTACGCCCTGCACGCAAGCATTTTGCCAGCAAACACTACACTATGTACACACTCATACATTTTATAAAGCAAAGTCCTAAAATAATGTTGTTAGCATGGATGTGAATTGGTTTCAAAGTAAGGTATGAAATGACCCTGTCAAGTGTGGTTTCACATATTTATGGATCATAATGGATGTCATTAATTCAAAACAGAAGAAAGACACAGAAAGATAACCATATGTCAATATTAATTTCTGCATTCTGAGCTTGAATAGCAGACAACGGGAAATAAATGCCAAATCCTCTCTCCCTTCCCAATATTAAGACTCCAAATCTTGATTTCAATGTCTGAAAACAACAGTAATTTTTTTTAAAAAAAAAAATGCATTCACATTTCTACTGAATTTCTTTTTTGATAGAAACAATGGCTTCAGAAATTCTGGTCTTAAATTCTCAGTATGCCCCCTGTGCTTTCACAGGTCTAGTGAACCAATGTGTTCAGTCCTTGCCTTGATTCCGAAGCTGCCTCTGGCCTTAGCCCAAAACACTGACCCGATTTTAAGCTGGTGAGTTTAACTCTTCCCTAGTTGCCACATTGATCTTTCCAGTGGTTGTGGGCTCTGAAGTCAGTGGGATGGTGACTTAAACTAGGAATGCAATTTTTAAAAGCAAATTTTCTTCTCAAAGGGAGCAATGAGCTAATTTAGTAATTTCTTTCTTGGTGTGAGAACGTTTTCAAAAGTTATGCAGTTTTTGAAGATTTTTTGTAGTTCAAGACTTATTCTGTGCAAGAAAACCACACATTATCATTTTACACTAAAAAACAACATTTTTCTGCACAGAGATAGGCTATATATTCTATGAAGAATAGCTTGCACACAAAAATGCAGCTTTCTCCATACTATAACCATATGTGTGAATTTTAGGTAGAATAAGTCTCAAAATGTGAATATTCCCATCAGTCCTGGATTCCTCTCAGCAGGAATCTCAGCACCTATGAAGAGATAAGAATTACAGATTAGAATCATACTGTGAGTGTTTGGAATTCTTAGGAAAGAAGAAAGTTCTTCTGGTAGAAGAGAGACTATAATAC